GGGGGACCCCGGGGGGGGGACCCCGGTTAGGGTCAGCGCAGGGCTCTTCCTAGGGACACAGGAGCTCCCCTGGAGCTGAGATGGTTCTCCTGCCGCCTGCCCGCCAGGGGGGTTTGCACCCAGGGCGTCTGGGAGGCCACTGGGCTGTGCACCACCTCGGGGAGGGCTCTTCCTAGGGACACAGGAGCTCCCCTGGAGCTGAGATGGTTCTCCTGCCGCCTGCCCGCCAGGGGGGTTTGCACCCAGGGCGTCTGGGAGGCCACTGGGCTGTGCACCACCTCGGGGTTCTGGAGGCCCCGGGGTGAAAGGCATCGGGAGGGGGAAGAACTTGAGCCTTGAGTGCGTGGCCCTCGGTGGGGGCTGGAGGGAAGGGGTTAGTTGAGAGGTCCGAGCTCCATTGAGAAGCTGGTCCGACGTGCCTGGGGGCCGGTGGATAAGGAGGGCACAGTGGCTCCATGTCACTGGAGGCGTCTTAAGCCTGGGCCCAAGGGACCTGCTGGGGCTGCCGTCAGCCCGCCTCCCCCGGCCCTGTGGGGCCCCCAGGAGCTGTGGCCCAGCCCATCAAATGGCTCAGCCCTGTCACCACCTCAGGAGCCGGCTCTGGGCCGGACACGGGGCAGGGGGGGGAGGGAATTGGGTGCCCCCCCCCCAGAAGCCATTGCTGCCAGGGGTCCTGTGCAGGGGTCCTGCTCCTGTGCGCCCTCGAGTGACCCGTGCGCTTTTCCTTCTCCCTAGGCGCAGAGCATGATCCCCATCAACGAGCCCTACCCGGAGGGTAAGTGCCGAAAGCGCCCAGCCCGGCAGGGCCGGTGTCCTGGGGCCCCGGCGGGCCCTTTGCCAGAAGCCCCCCTCAGGTGGCTGATGCCAGGGGTCCTGTGCAGGGGTCCTGCTCCTGTGCGCCCTCGAGTGACCCGTGCGCTTTTCCTTCTCCCTAGGCGCAGAGCATGATCCCCATCAACGAGCCCTACCCGGAGGGTAAGTGCCGAAAGCGCCCAGCCCGGCAGGGCCGGTGTCCTGGGGCCCCGGCGGGCCCTTTGCCAGAAGCCCCCCTCAGGTGGCTGAAGCCTTCTGCCCCCGCTCCTCAGCATCACCTCGCGTGGGCCGGCAGCGGAATTGCCAGGGCTCTGAGCGTCTGCCTGGCCGGCTCCTAACGTCCGGGCCCAGGGAACTGAACGCCGGGCCCCAGCACCGGCAGGGTGGCCTTGCCATGCGCCCTGCGTTGAGCCGGATTTCTCTGCCCCCTTGGGACCACGTGTGGCCGGGAGCCTGGCTGTGACTTTTGTTCCTCCTGCCTCAGGGCATGAGCCAGCGTCAGAGAAACTTTCTGCCCCTTGTGGGGTCTCTGCGGTGTGTGGGGCTGGCTGGCTGGACCCCAGCCCTGATGCATTCGGTGCCCGGGAGGGTGGCTACGATGCTTGCCTGGGAGCAGGAAGCCCCACCCCTCCCCTCACTCCCAGCGAGCTCCGTGGCTGGGGGGGCGGGTGGCGGGCGCGCCTCTCCCCG